TAGGACAACTTCCCTAGTTACTATTGTGTAAAATTGAATATAGCATAATAACTAAATAACTAAATGTTAATGATATAGTCACTCTAGATAGGAAGTAACATTTTTATCCATCACCCTTTTTTGAAACGAAAATAAATTATACTACGTATTAAAATATGAATCGAATCAAGAGTTACAATCATTCAGTAGCTCAAAATACACCACCTTGCATTTGAAAAAAATCCTATCTAGACTCAAGAAGCGCCCTACGATCAGACTCTGAGATGACCACCTCCAAAGAAGCAGTGCGAATCGCTGACCATCTAGCATGCAACATAGTTCTTTGATCACACATACAAAAGTTCACCCAAAATTGAGCAGAACTTTTCGTTGAACGTACGAGATCTTCAAAGCAATTAACAAACTTAGAAGTCTCAATACTCCGATCATAGCCAATCTAGACATTTCAAAACTGCCACGAACCAAAAAAAAAAACAAAAAACGAGGAAAATTGCCTAATGAAAGAAAAATAAAACTTGAAATAATTATAAAGCAAACAACTGTAGGTAGCCAAATTCAAATTTGCAAACGTCATCTTCTACTTCTAGGACCAGACAATCATAGTCTTGTTCTAGACCATCAAGCCCACCGTGCTTCTTGTTCTTCTCATTCTCTGACGCCTAGGAATACCTACACCCTTCTATGTCGGCCGCTACTAGCTTTCTTGAAACGACTGACGCCCTTATTTTAGTAATATTTATGCCATTATTTCTTTTACCAAATAGCTACTGTCCTTATCAGAAACAATAAGGCATATTGTGGTGGGAGAAAACAATCACCCCGAATCAAATATAGAAATCAAATAGAATTATTTTATTAGAGGATAAAAAACTTATATTAAAAAACCGATCAATGCAAGAGTTACAATTAGCCCATAACTCAAACTCCACCATCTATCTTCCAAAAGGAACCATTTAGACTCAATACAAACTCTACAATCAGACTCTGAGACTGTCATCTCCAAAGAAACAACGTAAATCGCTGACCACCAAACAAACAACTTAGAGTTCATATAAATCCTTAAGGTCACCATACTGTTAACCAAATCACTAACCTTATAATAGCCAAAAGGTTCTCTGAGTTTCTGATAAGACATTGAACACTCAAAACTGAGCGAAACTTTTCGCTGAACGTACAGAATCTTCGAGACAACTAACAGACTTATACAACGCAAGATTGCCACTAACAATAATAATTAATAAACAAAGGTAAAAAGTCAAAAGAAAGAAAAATAAAGCTTGAAGCAAAAATAGAACAAGAAACTGTAGTTGACCAAACCCCAATTACACGTTCATTCCATGTTGGTGGTTCAGAAGGGAGACAGATCATCAACACTTTATCTTCTTCCTCCAAGACCAAACGATTGTAGATCTAGTCTATTATATCAAATTTGCCTTGCTTCTTGACTGTGCTGTTCCCTGCCATGCCTTCGCCGTTCTTGCCAACCAATCTAGCTCCATGCTACTTCATCTGCAAATTGATTCTTCCTCCTATACGTACGCCATGGACGAACTAGCCATTTCAAAAACTCTAGATAGCACTCGTCTGAAATAAAACGTATGACGTAAGAGAATCTTCACCGAAAAACTACCCCAAAAACTCGAGGGAGTTGTCCGCTTTACTATTTAATTAGAAAGTGTTGTTAACCAAAACGTATCACACATATTATTATGTGTGTAAGAACATACTATTACATAGAGTGTAAACTAAGACAACAATAATTCCACATTTGACCGGTGTTCTCATAATAATCTCATCTTTACGTAATCTCTAAATAATCCTACATTTACAGCCCATCTTCTATCATTGGACCCTAATCGGTTGATGACCAACTATACGGGATTCTTATCTTTTCTTTGAAAATCTTACATAAATAATCTTACATTTCACAAATTTGCTCAAAACAATCCCATGTTTCATTTCCCCCCTTTTCACCCTAAAATTTTCCTTTCTTTATTTTTATCTCTAGACACTTTTTTATTCCTTTTTCCATCCTTTTGTTTTTATTTCTTTACCATATTTATTATTCTATTTCTCACTCAATTACGAGAGTGTTTTTTTTGTAAAATTTCCTTTCCAAACATTTTTTTTGCAATTTCTTGCTTCTAGTATTTTTATTTCATTTCCCTATTTATGTGTTTCTTTTCTTAATCATGTCATTCTCTTTTTATTAAAGATCTTTTCCCCCTTTATTTTTTTTTAAATTTTCCTTTTTTCACTTTTCCTTTTTTTTTCTTGTTACTTTTGTGTGTGTTTCTTCTTCTTTCTTCCTTTCTTTCTTCTTGTTACCTTAATTCCACCATCAATATATGTTTTCTCCTTTCTGCATCATGATATTTTTCTAAGTAAGTCCACTCATAAATTTCATCAACTATGAGAATTTTTTTGTAATAAAAAGATTAGGGAAAAATAAAATTTAAAGAAAAATAAAACAATCAGAGAAATGTAATAAAGAAAAAAATTACATATATCTTTTACATGAAGAGGAATGGGTGTGAGAATCATTATATGAAATGGGGAAAAGATAAAAACGAATCTAGATCAAGAAATCGTCACTATTCACTAACACGTTAAAAACAAGCGAAAAAGGATGGGGTGAAAAGTGACAAAGAAAAAAAAAACAAATACGTAGTACTTTTTAGGAAGGTGAAAAGGGAAAAAAAGATAAATGAGGATTTAAAGAAAAGAAAATTTGAAATAAAAAATAAATAAAATAATACGGAGTAATGAGTAATGTGAGATAATAGTCTTTAAAAGAGAATTAGCCGAGTAAGTAATACTCCGTAATACATAAAAAGAGAAGAAGTACAAACGGGGAAGAAGAAAGAAAAAACTATTGAGAAAAAGGAAAGCAAAAAACATAAACAAATTAAATATATGAAATAATAAGAAGATTAAAAAAATGAACGTGGAACTGTCTTGAATAGATTTGTGAAATGTGATATTATTTATATAAGATTCTCAAAAAAAGGCAATAACTCTTATATCGTAGGTCATGAACCAGGCGGAGTCCAAGAAAGATGATGAGGTCCAAATGTGAGATTATTATGGAATTACATAAAAAAGAAGAATTTTTATGAGAAGACCGATCAAATGTGAGATTGTTTTTGTCAATTTTTTTCCTTAATTAAATCATAAATCATAATATGGAGTATAATTTATTACATTGTCAATAAACTTTTTTTTGAAAGTAGATTGTCAATATCAATATGATTTTATTAAAATAAATGTTACTGCGTACTAAAATAAAAAAACATTAGACACGGTGTAAGAATCGGAAAAAATGTTTATCCATGTGATTTTATTTGTTTGTTTTGTTGAAAATGGTAAATATGAGTTATGAGGAAATCCATGAAAAAAACTGAAATGACCGCAAGGAAGCAGTTTTAAAATTCCGTGGGTCCCAACTGGGGACTACCTATTGTGTTCGTTATAAACGGGATAAATCACAGCCAAGTAGGGATGAGCAAAAATACCGAACCGACATGGTACCGAACCGAATCGGTATGACACCGAACCGTACTGTACCAGTTCTAAACAATGCCATGATCGATTCTCATAAAATGAGAACCGCTACCGGACCGAACCAGACCGAAGTATTTATAATTAATTAAATTTACATTTACACCATTACTTTGACTGGTGCCTTCACACTTTCAGCGCCTTTGTTAGTTCATAGGAAGCCTGGAACCAGATCGATGTAAGGTTTAATTATTTAAATTAGTACTACTCTATTCTGAAATTTATTAGTTATGTAATACTACCTCAGTTCCAAATTGATTTGCAAAATTAACTTTTCTTGGTTAAATAGTTTCATTTTATTCACTTAATTAGGAGGTCAAATTTTAATTATATTTAATTTCGAGTTTGCGACTTTGAAGAGATTTTAATGTAGTTTTTGAATATGTAAATTTTAATTGTTTTTTATCGAAGGTGGCTTAATTCATAGAAATAGCATTCAACAAGGGTACAAGATAATAAAAGAACCACATGTTATCATCCGCCAGTGGCCGAGACTGAGAGTTAACCACCTGCAAGAAAGCAGTATAACTCGCTAGACTGAGATTGGACAACTTAAAGCCAATGACGATTACCGTAGAACTTTCAAAACCCAAACCTAATGCAAGAGTCTTACTGCATGAAATAAAATAACAATAAGACACAAACGTCTTAACCTGGAAATTAAACTGCAGAAAAGGTAAAATATAAACAAACTCCAAAACGCGTCGATCAACCCTTGGCGGTGGTTCTGGAGGAGGCCTGACTCTCGCGACTATTGTTGATGCACCAATCATTGCTCGGCTCTCCGTATCTGCGCCATCGCCAATCCCCTGCTTACCAACGCCATCCATCTCCATCTGCAATCGTCCTCCTTCGATCTCCATGTCCAAGCCCTGCTTCCCAATATCAATCGTCTTCAGAAGCGCCCCTGTCCAAATCAACAAAGCTGTCTTGCACCCAAATAAAATCTGCAATCAATAGGAACCTTCACTCCGTGTCGGCGTAAACTCCTGCCCAAAAGCCAAGCCGGAAGAGAAGCACCAAACGCCGGATCAGGAAAACTCGGCCGAAGCCGCCGTACCCACAGCCGAAGGCCGCCGCCGGGAAAACTTGGCCGAAGCTCTCGAACCCACAACCGAAGGCCGCCGCCGGAAAAACCTAGGAAAACCTAGAGAGAAAACGATCATGTAAATGAATTAATTATCGATAAAGATGATCTATCTTTAACATTGGTTGACCAAAAAAATATTAACTTTGCATATGAATTTGGGACAGAGGGAGTATGAAAATTGATAAATTGTGTGGATTTATGTAGGATGGCTAAACTTTAATTTTCTCTTAAACACTTGGAAAAAGTGGCATTGTTTGATATTGGTATGACATGATACCGCCCCGTTTGAAAATGGAACCGTACCGAATGCGTATAAGTCTAAGACCGAACCGAACCAAACCGTTTGATTAGTAATAGTACCAGTACGGGTTCGGCCAAATATTGGAAGGAACAGCGCCCACAGGCCCCACCCCTACCGCCAAAGGCGCAGCCGGTTAAGGGAAGAATAGTGACGACGTGATCTTTACTAGAAGGCGGCAAGGCACTGGAATTTCCCAAGGTGTACGCTGATCAATAACAACTCTTTTCCAGATTAATCAGTGGTTAATTCGTTGTCCTAATTGCAATAACTCTTCTAGTCAGCTGTTTTTTACTCCGTATATTCTATTCTGAGCTAATTTGAGCAAAAATCTCATCTTGTGCGAGTTCTCTACATGTTCTGTGGTAATTAGCCAGAATAAGTGTCTTAAAGAAGAAAGTTTGATAGAATTAGTGTGAGGATATGCCTGCATTCTTTTCTTTGGTGATTAAGATCTGCTGTAATTGTGCTTATGGCTGATTTTTTTCACAACCTCGACTGTTGGTAGGGTTACGGCAATTGATTATGAAATTCTAGAATTCGAAAAAATGACATGGTGTTGTTTGGTTTCTGGATAGTGTTCTGTAGGCTGCCTGAAAAGACTCCGGGATTGCTGATTAGAAATTCTTCTTCTTCCGAAATTGCTTTCTCAGCTAATAGAAATGGTCTCATGGCTATAAAAGTCAATGCTTGCACCAAAATTAGGGCCGTTAGCAATAGAGAGTAGTTCAAGTGCAATCTCATGGACTGCACATGGTATCTGCATCCGTGAAATATCTAGAAACAGTAAAAATGGCCATAATCATTAAGAAAAACATAATTATATAGGTATTTTTGGAAGCTCTGTATGGCCATAAAATATTCCTATAAGATGTGTCGTTGCAGATGAACATATAAGTCACCAAACATCCTTCAAACCTCAGATATTACAATTAGTTGCGATAAAAATCTCTTAGCCTTATCGAGACTTGAGAAATTTAGTATTATGAAATGTTACAAACAGTATTAAATCTTCACATCTTGAATTTTATTGCTGAAGAATGACAAAGGCCATTCGTGTAAAATTTTCAAGTTTTATCATAAAGAACTTTAGTTCTATAAATATTAATGCACTGCGGCATAATATGTGGACTCTGTACTTCTAGATATGGTACTTGCAGGCAGCAGGCTACAACCGCTACATTTCTCCTTTTGGTGTTTGAGAAAATCTTGTTTAGAATTGGCTGATTGGCTTTTGCTCCCATTTCAATGTAGACGCTATTGAATGATATCTTCTGTTACACCCTTACACATGGTCTGATCTTATTTAGGTTTAAATACCTGCAAATATAGTTCGTTGTTTTGTTTTTTAGATTCCAGCAAAGTTACAGTATTTTGCATCCATTTATTTTTTATCATTACAGTTTTTTAACCCTCTCCAACTCTCTAGAAACCCCTGTTTAACCTCAAAACCTATATTTATACAAGATTTCATTTTTTACATCATTTTGACAGCATTGAGACCTATATTAAAAGCGTGAATGCGGACTTTGGTTTGGGGCTTGGCCGTAATTCCACAAAAGTCTGTAAAAAGTTACAGTTTGTAAAAAGTTTGGTTTTATTTATATTATGCTCTGTAACAGTGTAACCTCAGTCTTCTTATTCATTTCATACTTCATCAAGTCTCATCATTTATCTCCATGAGATTATCTATTTAAGGTCCATATACTTTCTTTCTTTTTACACAGCTACTCAGTTGCACCATCTCTCTGTTAACTGTTGCTGCATTGTTCTTCCTTCATTTTTTAGAAATTCTTCTTTCCTTTGAGGGGTCGCGGTGGGTGAGTATGAGTGAATGATTTTTCATTGTGTATCCATTCCTCTCTTGCCAAAGCTTTGCACTTGTCTTTGTCTACCGACATACTGATATATTTTCTTTCTTAGGTTTCTGAAGATTCTGATTTCTGAATTCCGATACTGCCCCTTGGTTAAGATAGCCAATACAGTTTTTCTGTCAGCGTTGTGCTAGACCATGACTGACAATATACCACCTGGAAATCTTCAAGGTACTTCTACTAGTAGCCCTCTTCAGTCTTAACCTCTGTCCACATATCCTCCTTTCAACCGTAACTGGGCAGTTGAGTTCTTGATACACTAGTACTAATAAAAAGTAGAACCAACTTTCAGAGAAAATTTGGTAACCCTTATTTTCAGCTTATCACTTTTATCAGCCAGACTTTTTACCAAACATGTAACTTTGGATTTGGCGCGCTGAATTATGTAATAATCAAAATAAGTAGGTTTGGAGTTACTTTTATGACTGATGAATTTGCTGAAGTTACCGTAGAGGGTCATTTTAGCTATTTTTCATATATAACTGTTTCCTAATTGTATTAATAAAATACATTGTAAATATAATTTTTTTCACAATTCAGCAGATTCAGTTTACTATTTTTCATGTATATATATATATATATCTGTTTCTTAATTGTATTAATAAAATACATTGTAAATATAATTCACTCACTTCATCCAGATTTACATCAATCTCAACATATTTAGCTAATTCTAGTATTACCAAAAGGGATCTAAATTTCCGAGTTGATACAATTCTGATTCTTTGTGGATATCAAGCTCTTATTTCAGACTAATATAGGAAGACTTGGGATTTTATCCATTTATGTTCTGCTTCAGAACTGGAACCGGGGAAAATGGGTTATGGATTTGGGAGTACCATAACTTGCTAATTCGGTTCCATTTTATTGTTTTTGGAGGTAAAGATGAAAAAGTAGTGGGTTGGTACTGGAAATGCCCCATAATTTAACCGGAACTGGAGCATGTTGGAACCGGTTCAGGTTACAGTTCACCCATTCCCGGAAACGAACCAGTCTGTGTTCAAGCCTACATTTAGGATTACATTTGTTCTCTATTTGTGAACTTGAACATGATTTTTTTGAAATCTTCAGATAAGGTGGAGGGCACCAGAGAAAAGGGGACAACTGAATCTGAACATGAGATAGATGCAATGAATGACCAAAAGGCACACCAAGATGCAGGCGAAGGTAATAAAAAAATCAGCAAAACTGACTCTAAAGGAGAAAGGGATATCATCAAGAATTTAGTGCAAAGGGGTGGTGCCGGTGAGGTAAATATGGAAGCTGAGATAACTCCTGATGATGTTATGAGGGCCGGAGGGTTAGGAGCTAGAGATGATATTGGTAGTTTCCTCCCTACAGCTATTGACACAACTGACTTTGAAGCCTCTCTTCTTGATGCTCGAGAATATGAAGAGCCTCAGGAACGCATATGCAGACCTGGCCTTGGCTGGACAGACACAACTAATGATAATAAGTGAACCTATTATTGCCATCAAGAAGAGAGTTTCTAGGCCCCCCTTCATGCCGCCACCCTTTTCGACTCTCACTGTTCTCTTCCTGATAATACTTTGAACAAGATCCTATATGTATGAGTAGTTCTGATCTCCTTGTTTGTTAAAAATACTGAAGGGTTATGGAGTTGGTGTTATGCATCTCTCTGTTTCCTTTTATTTACTTTATCTTGTGTATCACTACTGTGAGAATCTCATTCTCCCCTTTGATCTGAAATGGAAATTGGTCTTTGCATCTCAATTTCCCCCCAATATTATACTTTGAATCCCATGTTTTCTATCTTCGAACATGTACCACAGAGTAGAGTGTGGAGTCTAATACTCCCATGTTTTCTATCTTCGAACTTGCACCACAAAGTAGAGTGCGAAGTCTAATAAAACCGTCCCCCACTTGGCACTTTGGGGTGCATGTTCTAAGAGAGAAAACATGGGATGCGGAGTAAACCGTGAGGTGAAAAGATTATTGTACAGAAACAGATGAGAAGTACATACATGGCAATAGTGTACAACAACAGATGTGAAGATTTGAGTTTGCAAGTCATGTACTACGATAAAGGATTCTATACCCATTTGTTGAATAATTGATTTTGTACCCCAAATCCAAAAACTGAGGTTTGTTGTAATTATGTGGTGTAGAGTTCCAAGAGAAATGACCCTGTTTTGGGGCTTGGGGAGTACCCATGATTTAACGATCCGAATATTAAATTAAACGCTATGGTGCAAAGTTATTTTCTTCCCATAATATATTCTATGTGCTTATCTATCTACACTAGAAGTACACTTTTCACAACAAATTAATGCATTATAAGTTTATAACTATTCTGGTATGCTAACAGATCTGTGCACTAAGACATTCATTCATCATTGGGCTCGTCCACTAAGATATTCTTCGGAAAATTTTGTGTCCAGGAGCCAGGATTGCCAACGGGTCATAAAGGGATTTCCTTTTGACAAAGGTCTCCCACTGGCTGCCAAAATGAGTTCTCCACTCCTCCCTAGTGTTGTAATGGGGCAAGTATTGTTTCATCCCAATCTTGTCCTTCGTGCAGAATTCTAAAATTCTTCTGTTTTGTAAAAGGATGTGTTGCAGTCCATCTTTCCCAGTAGATGATGGGTTTGCAGAGCTCAAAAATGCTACTAGGTAGAAAATATTATCCTCAGGAGTAACCAAAGATGTCCCCTTCTTCCACCTGAATTATGACATTCAGTTATTACTAATATATTCTACATAATTGAAAATTAAAGCTCTGTTTGGTAACAGTTACTAGTATTAAATAACGAATTTGCTAAAAGTATTGAGTATGCTGAAGTGACTGATTTTACTGGATTCTCTTAAAGGTTTGTTTAGTAACACACCCTTTTCAGCCAAATAAAAGGACTTTTCTTCTTCACCTGAAAAATTGTGATTTGATAATACGTCTTGCTTTTTAGGATATGATATTATTCTGTTTGGTCTACTTCTTGTTTGAAATATTAAATTTGGTCTAATCATCATGGTTGGTGTCATCTAAACTAAAAAGCAATTAGGTGAAGAGAACAACACCTAAGTCAAAAGCTACTTATTCTGATATGAAGAACAAGCCACTTATTCTGGGGATGAATAAACAAGATAGTGAAAGTTATATAATTCATACTTAGATTTATCGACAGGGTAAATGAGAATGGGGCCATTGCTAGTGTCAGTGAAAATGTTTCCGAAAACCTCTGTGGCGAAGGCATGGATTTTCGTCTTTGGAATCATAAGGTTTAGCCATGGGTGTGGGACCTCCCACAATCCTTTTTCCTGGAGTTTCATCTCTGAAGTGTGCACTCTATCCAGAAAGTCCACATAAGGAACTTCTGTATGGAAGAGCGTGGAGTTTATGTAGCTCAGCTTTGATAGAAGGCTGTCAATCTTCTGCAGAGTTGAAAAAATAGACATGTCAAAGATATACAGTTGCCAAGGTATGTTCCATAAGAGGACATTTCTTACCTTAATACAAGACAAACAAAGAGAGTTTCTAAAAAATGCATGTTTGTGATAATTTTTAGAAAAACATGATCCCAATTTCCACCTTTTTAAAAAGCATCTTGTTGGTGCTTTTAATTTGAGAAAATGCTTTTAACTCTCTGAATTCTTTGTTGATATCATGCTCTTGTTTGTGCTTTTAATTTGAGAAAATGCTTCAACTCTTTAATTGGAGGTTTTTAGTTTCTAAAGTTAAAGAGTTTCTGCAAAATAAAAGCACCAAATAGGCTCATCGTTAGTTGGAAGTTGGAACAAACACAAAGCTCATATTTGTTGATCAGATAGTATAGGATGTAGTCTGTTTTTTTTTTGTGTGTGAAAGGTTACAATGGAAAAAAAGCTACCCAACTAGTTTATTTCTCAGAACTTATAGTAGTATATGCAAAATAAGCTCCACCAAATATACAGACAGCCTTTCAAACAAGCTTACTTTTGTTCACCAACAAGAACTGTTGACTATTTGGGTGCTTAAAATTAGCTAAAAGTTCCCAAATAAGTTGTACAAAACATACACTATTCATACCAACCTTCTCCAGAAAACTAGCCTCCTCTGGATTGAAGTACATGGCAACCTCTAAGCAGAAGAGCGTTTTTCCTTCAGAACTGAACTGGGTGGCTTGAACCGGGTCCTTAGGCTCAAAAGTAGACCTCCAGCTACTGACCAGACCGGATCGATTAATTACCACAAACCCTTCAACATAATCAAAAGAATCCTTTGATGATATGAGGGCCTCTTGGTCCTTGGCAAATTTGGCAAAATCTGAATACAGAACTCGTATCCACCTAACCTATCGAGTTATCATTTCTTGTTAGTTTGCTTTTTAGCTGTCTATCACACAATATTCTTATGATTCACCAAATATTCTATTTCAGACAAGGAAATCAAACCCAAGATCACAAGCATCTGGACTAAAAGTGGATATTTTGGTTTGGTTTGACTGAACTAAATTGAACCAATCCAAACTGAAACTGAACGATATGCAATTTGATTTGACTTCAATAATGTTTTTCGAATTTGAACCGAAATAAAATCGAATAGCAAATACATAAAATCCTAATATATTTAAGGAATCATATATAAACACAATAAACAAACTTTGTATGTTTTTAAATTAGTAATTATTCCCCAAACCGTTCTAAAATGGATAAAAAGTTAAAAACATGCCTGAACTCAATAGCCATCCCTAATTCAGACTAGACTAGAAATATTTGAAACACGTGGATCATTGAAGTTTGAGATTGAAACCGGACCGGGTCTTTAAATAGTCATAACAATCTCATTTTTAAAAATAAGAGTAGAATAAGTCCTCACTCTTCCTTCTTTTAGTTTTTGATGATTTTATTCACTGCGAAGTAATTTAAGTTGTATAGTTAATGGGAGTCATTAGTTTACCATATTGGGTGCTGGTTCAAGGGCAATTCTTGCTCTAGTGATGATACCAAATTGTCCAAGTCCTCCAAGTACAGCGTTGAACAGTTCAGTATTCTGTTCCTCTGAACAAGTCGTGACTTCTCCTATTCCTAGGGAATGTTTATCACCATTATTGTTAATAACATAAAACATCTACTAATTTTGACAAGGATGGTAGTGAATTATTTTTTCAGTAATGTCTTTGAATCCCCTACACCCCCACCCCACCTTACCCCACACTGCAATTTGTTTCTGTAAAATCCAAGAAACATGATTCAGCAAATCGATTTTATTTGATTTTATAATCTCTTTAGTGACTTTTGGCAACAAAACTGGCTTATGCTGCAACCTATGTTGTATGCAGGCCTACATCACGAGCACTAAATGATTGAATTTCTGGCACGAATCATTTTTCAGGGAAAACAAGGACTAATCAACACTTGTCGACTTGTAGTACATTTTGGAATTTCTTCAGTACTTTAGTAAGTACCCATAAGTGTAATTTTTATGGTGAACTTTTTAGAGGAAAAAAATTGGTAACACATATTTCAGCCAAATAAAGAAGCGTTTGTGATTGCTTCTACTTTTAAAAAGTAATTTTGAGAAAAATGTTTTAACAGTAAAAGTTGATAGTATTTGAGAAAAAAAGTGCTTCTGAAAAAAAGTAAAAGTTGGACGTACTTGATAAAGAAAATGTTTTTTGTGTAATTGAAAAAGATGAAAGCACTTTAAAACATCCCTCAATTTGCTTCTAGTTTTTAGTTTTTAATTGATTAATTTAGGCAGAAGTTGTCACTTGAAAAAATTAATTTCATCTTTTTAAGTGCTCCTTATACACCCCTGCACTCTCGCTCGCTTTGTGGGATGCTTTCGTGCACCGGATTGTCCCCTTATGCTACTTTTAAGCAAAAAATAAGACTAAATAAGACTATTTAGTAGAACCTTAAAAATAAGACTATTTAGTAGCAATTTTTTTTTTTTGCTACTTTTAAGCGAAAAAATAAGGCTTTTTAAGAGAACCTTAAAATGTCATGTAGTTCTCTCTGCTGCTGGTCGGAAGCTATACTTCCTCTTGTTCTTGCATTATTTACTTACTCTTGTTGAGTACATTTTACTCATTAATTATTTAATCATAAAGCATTGTAAAATTTGTCTCCAAATAATATTTTAAATTATTTTTTATAGTTTTACTTATAGACATTTAAATATATCAATAATCAAAATCATTTATCACAAAACAAGAAAATGGTGAACTTAAGTGTTGTAATAAAAGAAACGGATGTAGTACATTATGGCTCTGTTTGCAACCACTTAATTTAAGTGATTGTGACTTATTTCTAAGAAAAAAACACTTATTTTATCAAACACTACTAACTTTTACTTTCTCGATTTTCGTGTAGAATCTACTTTTTACTTTTTCTATTACACAAAAAGCACTTATTTTACCAAACACTACCAACTTTTACTACTAATCACCTTTTCCCAAAAAGTGCTTTTATTTAAGCACAAACACTTGCAAACAAAGCCATATATGGACTGTACACCAGTCCCCACTTAATGTTTGCATTTTGAATTCTAAGTCCTCAATTTTCAACCTTGGCCCATATTATTTATAGTATAATGAATTATTGTACAAAACGTGTAGTAAGATAAATTTTTCAAAAGTATATATTTTCATGTTATAACTAAATAATTGTTCCATCCTATTTTATGTGTCTTACCTTTTTGAGTTATTACCAAATAAAAATTGTGTTTCCTTTTTTGGGAAGAAATATGTATTACATACTCCGTATCGTTTAACGTTTATCTATTAAAACCTCAACCACGTACATTTTTTATTTTGTAACTACTTTGTTGTTAATAACTATGTTGAATAAAAACACGACACATGAGATGAGACAGAGGTAGAATTATTTATGCATAATTAATTTTCAAATGATTCAAAAGCATATATGTCTACAGTATCTACAATGCCTCGATCAGGCTGTGCCCTATTGATCCAAATGCCCAATGTTCATTTTCTGATAGTCCCAAAATAAAACTCTCCGATCCCTCCTTATTTGATGATAACTTGTAGTGTCAAAACCGTACAACAGTCTGCATAAAATTTACCCATTAAAAGGGCATTTATTGAAGTCAAATTAAACAAAAAAACTGATTTACTCAAGCTCAGTGAAGGTTAAACTAAGAAGTTCTTTAAGAGGAGTATGTAGAATATAATACCTGTGACAACCTGAAGCTGGTAAACATTGTTGATCTGGGGGCCATGCCGGAATGCTTGGCCGCTAATCCCAGCATTAGACAGAGTCCCCCCAATGGATAAATGAAGATAATCAGTCCAAGATTTGGGGGTAAGCCCATGTTTAAGACTTTCATGCAGTAGGTTTATCCACAGCTCCCCAGCTGAGACATCAACATAGGAGAAGTTGCTCCCGATTGTTTGGAATCGCATTCGTGGCACGCGGAGCGATTCCATGTGGATCACCACACCATTGTTAGCCTGCGCCTGCCCTTGCAGCGAGTGGCCGCGCCCTCTCGCAGCAACCGTTAGCCCCAAACCGGAGACGTGTTTGATCACCGAAGAGATATCCGAAACCGATTTGGGGTATAACACTGCTGCTGGGAGGAAATGGTGTGTGTTTCCAAAGTCTTTGGCTGCATGGTCAATATGGTCAAAGCTAAGGTACCCCTCTAGTTTTAGGCCCCCCCTCAGTGATGATGAACCATTACGTTCTAGAAGGGGGGTGGGGAAAGGGTTGGTAGAGCAAAGGTTACATATGGCAATGCCATAACTGGATAATATGAGTATGATGAATCTGAGGAGAATAGTGTTGTTTTGTTTCATTATTGTTGTGTGTGGAGTGGTCTCACGGAAATGATCGAAGGGTGATGGTGTGTGCATATAAAGGGGAAACGAATTGAATTGAAGGTCAGTGTCATAGACCATTATATTGGATGACACTTAAGTACAAAACTTCATCCCAATCAATAGGTACTATGATTATGTTATTTTATTCATTAATGATAACAATAATATTTTTACTATTATTAAAATGCTTTTTGAGGGTGGTTTATTTTAGGATGAAATTATGACGGAGTACAGTAAATGACAAACAAAAAATAATGAATAAAAGTATGACTTTTACGACACCATGACTCTATAATGAATTTTTTTATGAGCTCCAATGATCACTTTGAGAGTTTGAGAAGAAGTCACTGTTGCAAGACTATTAATGTGTTATGACATTACCATGAAAAATGAGTGACATTATTTAAAATTTATTAATACTCCGTATATAATTTGAAAAAGAATCTCAATAACAATCTATGATTGCATTCCATTCGTCCAACAAAATTGTTCTCCTTATCATTTTGGGATGTCTCAATGGTTCTTCTCATTTATATATTTGAAATTTTTTGGATGGCTAACATTCATTTATCTTTTTCTTACTCAATCATACTATACATTTCTACTTTATTCTCACTTTCTTAATAAGCGTATCAAGTCAAATCGGATGGGAAGTATTTTTTGGAGGGAGGGAGTATATATAGAGTACCATTTCTGTCTCAATTTGTAAGTCTTGCACGTTGAATTTCCTGAATAGGAGCTTTGGAGGATAGTTCATAGAGTCTAAGATTATGATGGTAAACTCTGAATTATAAAAAGAAAAAAGGAAAACAATAAAAGGAAAAAGTGAACTGAACTTTAGATGGATGGACAAAGATGTTACGTAGGAGTAGGAGTAGAAGTTTTCAAAGTCTTCATGCGGTGCCAAACTTCAGTACCTACATGTCACTTGTCAACATATATCCGATCCATGTTTGGTATATGTCGGATTCATTTATTTATGATCGACTCGACTTATAATTTTAACGTGTTCATATATAATTCGAAATAAATTGTTATAATAAATCTATAATAATCAGCAGGTTGGTTTCCAAACAAGTTCATGAAAGTTTGATTCACTTTAATTAATCGTTTGACTTATCCTTAGCTTGATCTGACAATGTTTTAATGAAATGTATTTAATTTCTTATGCGACTTGACTCATTCGACAAGTAAACGGTATGAAGATTTTGTGAGAAACGGATTTGTCACATATTTAGACATGGAAGCATGGGCGTATGGGCTAGGGTAGTTACCGGTTAAGACTTGCCCATCTTTTGATGGGAGATGTTCTTCATTTTATATAATGAGAAAGCACTCAGTTATATACTAGCAATTCAATGAAATATATACGGCCTCTCAATCAAATACGGAGTATACGATTTATACATGTAGTCTGATTTATACCAATTATTTCATCTGATTTTTGCTTTGTAGTTTGATTTCAGTAGGAGCCACGATTGGGGTTGTAGTACTCACTATCATAGGATATAATTAATAAATTCGAGGTTCATATTATATACATTTCTATAGAATCTACAATCTTCAATGCAAAACTTCATATCAGTGGCGGGTACTGCAATCTCATTTTGCTGAAAATTATACTTAATTTCCCATGAAATAGTTATTAAAAGGGACAAAATTATTAGTTACATGACACGATTTGTAAGTTTTTATCATTGGAAATCACCTATATATATTGATATTAAGATATATAATCGAGAAAATTAATTCAGGTATGACTAAAAGAGATACTGTTTCCCAATGTAGAAAATTATTACTACATTAAGACATATGGTAGGTGTGTACATCCTTAGCTAGTCATATTAACTGCAAATATACTTTTTAAGCCATATTATAAAAAACGGGACATGTTTTAATAATATATGAATATTTTCCCTATATAATTAACATGCTTACATTAAACTCAAACATCACACCACTCCTCCCCGAGACTCGAAGGACGTGTTTGGTATTCAGCGGTTAGCGGTTAGCGGATAGCAGATTATGCTAGCGGATTGTCAAAAGCGGATTCAGTCAACGGGTTTGTCTAGCGGAATAAATTGACAGGTTGTTAGAAGATATTTGATAATTTAACTGTTTGGCCATAAAATTAGTAGGAAACGTCATCTTTCAAAACGTCAACCTAAAACTCTCCTATCAGCAGCGTTTTTATTTCATCGTTTCATCTAGAAAAGCTAGTGCCGAACCGCTATTTACCTAACAACTTTTTCACCTATTGAAAACGTAGAAAATGGTCAAATCGCCATTTTTCGGCTGAAACGCCGTTTACCCAACACTCTCAAAATAACCCAACTTTCAATCGGCAAATAGCCTAGCCTAGACACCCAAATATATCACAAATTATACCCTACAACCGGCACACCATGAGGACGGTGTGCCGGGTCCTAAATAAGGAAAAGAAGAAGAAGAAGAAAAAGACAAAGCATCGATCATCTTCGACCGCGGCAAAGCAGAGCAACACCAGGTTTGAGCATCGATCTCTTCCTCAAGCTCTTCAAACTAGCTAGTTAGAAATCAATTAGATTCTTTGATTTTCAAACTCACTCTCAACTACGTACAAAGCCACATCTCTTTTAGGACAAAAAACAATTTCCTTTGCTTTGATTTTACATCTAATATGAATCTGACTGAAAGCAAATTCTTTTGATTTGATTTAGGAGGTCAACATATTATTCCAATTCAGATTAATCTGAATTTTTCTATTCACTTGGATGTTGATTTCACAAGTTACATCTCATTGTTCTCATGTTACATTTGAATAGGCTAAAGTTACATTCACAAATTACATCAGATTTGTTCCCACGTTACATTTGAATCAAAACAGTTTACATTTCAACGAGTTACATGTGAATGAGTGCAATTTACATTTTGATTAACTTCAAGTTACATCTCGAATCACACGAGTTACATTTCATATAACCATAGGTGCATGATGCTCACCATGCACCGGTTGCACGGTATACGGCCTCCAAATATATACTTCCATTAGTTCGATGTGTAAATACTTTGTAACAAAATCCATTTATAACAAAATCTCTATACCGTTCAAGTGGTCTAGCTGGTTGTGTAACCATCACTTCTAGCCTAGCTGGTTGTGAGGTTATCCTTGCATAGGAGAGGTCTCGTGTTCGAGTCCCACTAGCACCAGTGGAACTATGCTCCCCCAAAAAACCCTTCAAGTGGTAGGGCCAAGCGGTGTATACTAACCCGTAGGGCCAAGCCAAAGTTGGGTTTCTGGGGTAAGGGGCCGTGAAAGCGGTGGAGCCAGTCACTATAAAAAGTTTACCCATACCTTAGTTTTACCGGTGGGCGTAGCTCAACTGGTAGCGAGGGAGTGCCACAAGGGTTAGGTCTCGGGTTCGAATCCCGGTAACTGCGATGAGGGGTTACTATGCTGAAAAATGCATAGGGCTTCTGCAAGTACCGGGGACAGAGCCCCACTCTCTATCTAGCAGATTGTGATTATAGTCCAATTTACATCCTCCCATCGTGTCGTCCGGTCGGTGTTGGGGGGCCCTCAGGGATTGGGTGTCATCCTTTTTTCATCCAAAAAAAAAAACAAAATCTCTATACCGTTTACTTGTCCAATGAGTCAACTCGCACAAGAAATTAAATGCTCCACATGCATATCATACATATGCACAATATAACATTATTCTCTAATCAAAGATAAGTCAAACGATTAATAAAGTTCATCAAACTTTCAAGAACTTGGTAAACAAAATACGGTTTTGTTAATTAACGGTTGGTTTGAGAGCTGCTCTCTCCATGGTTTGGGGTTCCCCAAATTCTTGGATGCCATCCCCTCTGAAAAGTTCTTCAACTTAGCTCAATAATCCCTGGACTCCTGATTTTTGGAAATTTCCTTCCCTACCATCCCTAATGGGGAAAGGCAGAGGTAACATCACGAACACAAAAATGCCAAATACACCCAAGATAGATGATGACGGGAAAGGCCCGAGTGCATATGTGAAACCGGTGACCCATGTTTTGACGGAAAACAAAGATAATTCGTGCTTGGATGTAACAATGGAGAATCCTGAAATAGGGGCGAACGACCAAGTTGCTAGCAAGAGCATAACAAACCATGCACACCAACTATTTGATCTAAATGGCGAACCAGAAAAAGAGAAGACGGCTAACAAAACTTCATGGGCGGGCCTTTTTAAAGATAACAGGGCACCCTCAAAAGGAATGAAGCTAAGATATATTCCTACAGAAGGTGATTTTGTTGATATGAGCATTGAAGAACCCATAAATATGGTGGAAGTTTGGGGTTTCTGTCTTGTGGGTTTTTTCACTGGAAGGTTCCCAGGGATAAAATCAGTTTATAAGCTCATGGATGGATGGGATGTTAGATGCAAACTGCTGCAACATTCTAGAGGTTGGTTTGTGTTTCAGTTCAAAACAGATGAGGATAGAACAAGAGTTCTACTGGATGGGCCATATGATGTGGCTGGAAGAATGCTTATGCTAAAGGAACTATCTGAAGCTTTCTCCTTTGAAGATGAAGAGTTCCTAAAGGTTCCATTATGGGTAAAGTTCCCTAGATATCCAATGGAATGCTGGAATGAAGAGAAAATCAACATTGTTGCATCTAAAGTAGCACAACCAATTTACACAGATGGTGTTACTAATGAGAAGACTAAACTTGATTACGCTAGAGTTCTTATTGAAGTTGACATATCTAAGTCCCATCCCCTCAGTGTTAAAATGAGAATGAGATTTGGCAAGAACTTGGTAACCAAACTGGCAATTACTCCAAATGATTTATTATAACAATTTGAATTGTATATAATTAAATAAACATGTTGAAAGTTTTTAGATTTTAACTATTTTAAAGCATTAAAATCACTTTTTCTTTTCACGTTGAATCTGAAAATTCCATAATTTAAAAATAATGTATAAATTCTACGGAGTATGATATTACATTTACCAAGATGGTAATATTACTTTGAATATACAGTAGGTAGTGTAATTTTTTATGTACTTCATTCTAATCTACTATACTATATGTTCCATAATAAATAGCAACTTAATGTTACACGATGTCATCAGAGCACAAAGAAGTTGGCCCAAATAATGCCACACATGTGGTACAACTTTATCATGGTACCTATATATTTTTCTTTTTTCTTTTTTTCTTTTTTCGTTTTCTACTCAAATTTTTATTATTTCAGTAAAAAATGCCATTATTTATATCTGGTAATTCCATATTTTCTTACGAAAATGTCATATTTTTCGATTAGAAAAAGTCATTTTAATCGGAAAATGCCAATATCATACGGAGTATAAGGGAGGAGTCGAGGAGATGGTTGTGCCTCTAACTAGAGGATCGGACGACGCAGTGGCACCAAATGAGCACTCACCGGATCGGAGGACACGACACTGGTGCCCAATGGTGGCGGCAGCTTTGCCAAAATTATACGAAAATATAATTTGGGGAATAATGGCTTACCCTATTGGGTGTCTTACCTTATATTTATAATAAAGCAGAGTTATGAAGAATTACAAAGTAATCTAAATTTTACATTATTACACCCCCTCAATTTATGCAGGGGAATTACATGCAAATTTGAACGTAATAATTCAAAACGCTGACTAGATAAATTCTTGGTGAAGATATCAGCTAATTGCAACAGTGTAGGAATGTGCTTCACCACAAGATCTCCATGTGCTACTCACTCTCGAACAAAATGATAATCATCAATTATAATGTGCTTACTCCGATCATGCTGAATAGGATTAACTGCCACGTAAGAAGCTGAGACATTAATTATCACAAAGAAGCTGCACCGGAGCAGAAATAAAAATACCCATATCGGCCAGAAGTGAGCAGATAAAAAGTGTGTCCTGGACAGTGTATGCAATGGCCCTGTATTTGGCCTTTATAGAAGACTTGGATACTGTTGGTTGTTTCTTGGATCGCCACAAGATTAAATTGGATCCCAGAAAACCGCATATCCATCAGTGGACCGCAAGCTATCAGGACAGCCTGCCCAATATGCGTCAGAGTAAGCCGTAACAACTGAAATATTTTTATCTGCTCATAGCCATAAACCATGAGTGTTAGTGCCCTGCTATTACCTTTAAATTCTCTTAATGACAAAAAGGTGAGTAGTACGTGGAGCATGCATAAACTGAGACACAAGGTGTACAACATATATAAGTAATATCAGGTCTAGTAATGGTTAGATACTGAAGAACACCTACCATACTGTGATACTCAGCAACATCAGATAATAGTTCCCCATTTGTGAGATAAAGTGTAGTGCGTGAAGGTAGGGGAGTACGAACAGGTTTTACAGTATGAAGATGAAAATTGCGCAATAGATCAGATATTTATTTTGCCTGAGATAAGAATAAACCTGTAGGTGTACGCTTAGCCTGAATACCCAAAAAATAATGGACATCCCCTAAATCCTTCATTGCAAACTGATGAGCTAGAGTATTTACGACAGAGGAAACAAATGAAGTAGAAGAACCGGTAATAAGAATATCATCCACATATAAAAGAATATAGACCACCTGAGAATTAGTACGATAAATGAACATGGATGAATCAGACCTGCTCTGTGTAAAACCACGACTCAACAAAAAACCACTGAACCAATGAAACCAAGCTCGAGGGGCTTGTTTCAAACCATAAAGAGTCTTACGAAGGCGACGCCCATGATTAGGATAGGAAGGATGAACAAAGCCTTGAGGTTGGCGCATGTAAACCTCCTCAGTCAAAACACCGTGCAAAAAAGCATTTTTCACATCTAACTGACGAACAGATCAGCCCAAAGAAATGGCAACAGATAAAACAAGATGAACAGTGGTAGGCTTAACAACAGGACTAAAAGTTTCAGTAAAGACAACACCAGCCTGTTGTTTAAAGCCTTGAGCAACTAAACGAGCTTTATGCCGCTCAACAGATCCATCAGGACAATATTTTGTCTTATAAATCCACTTACAACCAACCACATTTTTAGTAGGGTCCCAAGGTACCAAATCCCAAGTCTTATTATTAATCAAAGCATTAATAATAAAACTTTGCCTGCGTAAAACAAGTAGGAACATCCGGGGAGATAAGACACTTAAGGTAAAAATATTTTTGGGTTTGAAAATGTCATCCTTTGCGCGTGTATGCATCAGATGAACATTCATTGGGGCAGGTGGGGTCGAGTGCGCTGAGGCCGAGGACTGGGAAGGGATATGGTTACTGGGACTGGACGGGGAGATGATGGGAGATCCTATGGGTGATGTGATGGAGCTGTTTGAGTGAGCTGGAAGTAACTGGTTGATTATGGGTGTGGCCTAACTACTGGGAGAAGAGGGTAGTAGGCTGCTGGGATTCCTGGGAAAGTGGGCCGTAGGTGTGCCGCACGTAGAGGAGTGGTGCGGGGTAGTGCAGGCCGAGGGAGAGGACTGGTTTGGGGTGCGGTTGGTGATTGAGGAGGTAATTTGTGGAGTTAAAAGACTTTGTGGGTTGGATGGGGGACGAAAACCATCAGAGACAGAGGAGGAAAGTCAGGAGGAAGGCACGGTTGATGTCAGGGAAGAAGATGTGTTTATTAAAGAATTATATGGAAAATTATTTTCATGAAAAAACTCATCCCGACTGACATAAACCCGGCCTGTGGAAGGAGATAGCAACGATGCCCTTTATAACCCGGAGCATAACCAAGAAAGACACAATGCGTAGAACGTGGTGATAGCTTATTGTGAGAGGACGCAATAAAATTAATAAAAAAATAGCAACCAAATACATGCATAAAATTATAATCAGGCAATTTATTAAAGAGTTTTTTATATGGAGATACTCCATACAAAACTGGGGTAGGCAAACGATTAACAATAAAAGTGGCTATGTAGAGAGCATCTACCCAAAAGTGACTAGGAATAGAAGCATCAATCATTAATGTCTTAGTTAATTCAAGTAAATGTTTATGTTTTCGTTCAACCACCCCATTTTGAGCAAGAGTATGAGGACAAGATTTTCTAAATAAAATGTCTGAATTTAAAAAATGCGTGTTAAACAGAGTGTTATCAAATTCACCCCCACCATCACTCTGATTTTTTTTAGTATTCAAAAGATTTTCAACCAGTTTTTGAAAATTAATAAAATGTGTAAAAACTTCAGATTTCCTACGTATGGGGTAAATCTAGGTATATCTAGAGAAATCATCAATAAATGACACATAATATTTAAAACCCAGATTAGAAACAACTGGTGACTGCCAAACATCAGAATGAATAGTTTCCAAAGGTGCAGAGGTATCATGAATAACATCATAAAACGGAAGTATATGGGATTTACCCAACTTACATGAAACACAATCATGAGTAAAAGCTGAAGAAGTACTAATTAATTTATTTTGTCTAAGAGTACAAATAATCCTATCACCACAATGTCCTAAACGCTTGTGCCAGACTGGACGAGGTACAACTCGGGCTTGAAGGGCAATAAAAGGGTAGACATGATCTTTATTAGTGGCCTGAAGAAGAAGCTCCCCCGTTTGATTGTCCTTAACAGAAAAAGAATTTTTATCAAAAATAACTTTACAGGCATTATCCGCACACAACTTTTGTATAGATAGTAAATTGTATTTAATGTGTGGGACATGGTAAACAGAATTGAGATGTAGCGGGTGACCAAATGTGATTAATTTAATGTGACCAATATTAAAGATAGGTAATTTAGTACCATTAGCAACACAGACTTGATTCGGGCCAGTATAAGTAAATTTAGAAGATAAAATACCTTCATGCAGAGTCATGTGCGCGGAAGCCCCAGAATCAGGATACCAGACCCAATCATGCGTCTCACCAGTGGGAAGAGCCGCAAGAGCAGGAGTATTTTGCAAAGTGAAACGAGAGCAGGTGATGGCAGAGTGACCGGGAGAGAAGCAAAGCTGACAGACAACTGGCAGAGCAGGAGAGGGATGGGAATTCTCAACAGACCGAAAACCTGCACTAACATCATAAGTACCACAAGTAGGAAAGTGATTAGTAAAACCATAACCAGAATTAACATTACTAAATACCGAACCTGTGCCACCAGAATATGGAGATCCATGTGGAGGAGCCGGCTGCCAGTAGGGAACCCCATACGCCGGATATCCTCCAAACGGCTGCTGATAGTACTAATGTTGGCCACTTCCGCCCCGACCACGGCCACCCCGAGGTCTGCCTCCTCGGTTGCCACGACCACCGTGTGCTCGAGGTGCACCTGCACCATACCCGCCGTGTGCTCGAGGAACAGGCCCTCGACCTGGGGCTGCTTGTCCTGTCGCGAAGGCCCGATGGACAGTGGGCTGGTCCTGAGATGGACTGGCAGTAGACCGGTTCTCCTATGCTTGAAGGATCGACCGCAGAGATTCAAGTGTAGCATTCCCAGGAAAATAAGATATAGTCGTGATAAGAGGTTCATAATCACGACCCAACCCCAAAATAGCATACTCCGTCATATCAAGGTTACTAACGGGTGAATTAATTACAGCAAGAGCATTGTTCTAAAAATCGGCCTAGGCGGACTGATTAATCGGCCTAGGCGGCCTAGGCGGCCCTAACCGTAGAGGACGAATCGGCCTAGTCGGCCAAAAAATCGGCCTAGTCGGCCTAAAAATCGGCCTAGTCGGCCGCCTAGGCGTCCCTCAACTGCCCGACTAGCGCCTAGCGAGTTTTAGAACAATGAGCAAGAGCATCAACAATCAACTTAATTTCCAACAAATATCGATCCATGGTCTGTGACTCTTTCTTTTTAATATGTGACAAAGACCTCTTAAGTTCAATAGACCGAGCAAAATAGGCAGACATAAAACGCGATTCAAGACACTCCCAGATAAGATAAGAATTTTTCAAGTCATAGACCTCCATCAAAATATCCCTAGCCAAAGTAGCAGAAATCCAAGACCTAACCGTCTGGTCTATTTTCAACCAGTGGTGGTAGTCCGGATCCGTGACAAGCGGTGCCCTAATTGAGCCATCTAGGATCCCAAGTAGACTGTGAGATACCAAGAATCACTCAAATTGGGCACGCCACGGTAAATAATCCTCAACAGCAGATAGTCGGGTAGTAACAATATTGGTCACATTGGGCGTAGAGAATGCCAATTGAGAAGACAAAGCACATAAAGAACCTGGCAATTGTACATAATCCGATTAAGCCAGAACCTGGGCTTGTGGCTGAGGGCGTGACACCTGCTGGTTAGTGAATGTTGGCCCAGCGTATCTCATGGTGGATGGACCGGCTTCTGGAGGGGCGTTGAGGACCGGTGGTGGAGGGAGACTGGCAGTGGGAGTCCAGGAATACGAATGCGGCATGCCAAATAAGCGATATGAATCAATAGGCTGAGATTCCATGCCGAAGAGTTGGGGCGAGCGGTAACCACGGCTGTGTAATACCATCTATCGGTGCTGAAACAGTCATGGATGATGCAGGGGATGATACCGCACTGCTTGAACCGACCTTGAACGAAGAGGTGGTGTCGAGGATGCTGGTGACGATATTAGATGAAGGCAGCTACGATTGAATGGGCGCCTGGGATTCTGGGAAGCCATAACAGCGGTGGTCTGTGGCTGCACCTGCGGAGAAGAGGGCGCCTGGGAAGAAGCGGCGTGTCTAAGGCCGCCGGTCATTGTGGATCGTGAAAGAGGAAAAGAAAAACCTAGGCATCTGATACCATATACAAAAATATAATTTGGGGAATAATGACTTACCCTATTGGGTGCCTTAGCCTTATATTTATAATAAAACAGAGTTATGAAGAATTATAAGGTAATCCCTAAATATTACATTATTAAAAATATGGGGATAACGGTGGCGCGCAGTAGGGCTGGGTCCGAAAAACCGAAAACTGAAAACCGAATCAAATCATACTGAACCGTAACCAAATAAAACCGAACCGCTAACAAACCGAAACTGATTGCAAAAAATCGAACCAAACCGTAGTTGTTTGGTTTGGTTTTGGTTTTTACTCTTCAAAACCAAACCAAACCAAACCGAACAAACCGAACTAATTAAAATATAAAATTTATTTGTCAATTGTTAAGCATTAATCCTAATTAATCCTAATATCATTAATAGTCTTTGGTTTTCTTGTGCTAGAGAAATAATGTTTGTGTTATGTTTAGTTTAGTTTAGTTTATAAATTCATTTACACATTCATTGTCCGTAATAATATAGATATACAGAATGATGATAATATGTTTTTACTAGTTATTAGTATTAATTAACTTTTATTTTTATTTAACTTAAAGAATTCATATTGATGAAACAATCAATATTCATCTCAACTATATCACATAGAACGTATATAACCATATACTCATGAACTTTTTTTGAACTAGTCACAAACAATGTAGATTAATATATAGTATATATATTTTTCTCTCTCGCATACTCATATAATTCAAGACATATTTATTTATTTTCATTTTTATTTTATTTGTTGTAGTGTGCTTGCATTCTTTATGTAATACTATGTATATGTTTGATCCCTCAAAGTATTATAACAATTTTAAATCAAATGATAATTTTTTGGCAAAAAACCAAAAAAACCGAAACCGAATCGAAACAAACCGAACCAATCAAACCGTGGTTCCATGTTTTCAAGTGTAAACCGAACCGAAACCAAACCGAACTTTTTACTTTGATTCTATATTTGGTTTTAGGCCAAAACCGAACCGCAAGAACCGAATTCACCCCTAGCGCGCAGGGTTTTTGAAATCTTCTGAAAGCTATCAAATTTGTTGTTTTCTGTTTATAATTATAAATAGACTTGATATTTCATTAAGGTAATTTTGTCAAATTATTATCCCTTTACTCCTAAACATGAGACTTCGAGATCTCTAATTGTTCACTTCTTCATGGATCTAAATGAAAATAAGTTGCAGATCAAAAGAGATGCTCCGTAATAATTTAGTAGTCCAAGACTAAAAGTGGAATCTTTTATGCTCCGTAAAGTGAATTTAAGCAAACCTAATGCAATAAAGTAAACCTAAGTTTTAATAAAAACTAGGTTAACCTAAGTGAACCTAGGTCGATATGTAAAATAGTGTTTGGAAATATACAAGGTTAACCTAGGTTAATGTAATAAATGTTGTTTGGATGAATGTACTCTAGCTCATTTTACGTTCAACGAGAACTTAACCTCCAAAACCCCCGATTAGGAGGTTCTTCAATTTAAGGTTCTTTCAGGTTCTCGGGAGTTAAGTGAGGTTAACACATAACCCAGGTTCTTGTTGCAAAAATACAAACAAACGGGGTTAACTAGAAATTAAACCTTCAATAACCTAGGTTAGCAACTACTTAAAACTTCTTTTTGGTCGTATGTGGCTTCACTGTAATGGCAGCGAACAGGGCCGTCTAATGAATTTGGAGGCCCCGGTTCCAAATAACAAATTGAGGTCCCTAAGACAAGAAAAAAATACAAATTTTGACAATGAAGCACAAATAGTTTAGACAATTCAATGAAATATAAATTTTATGATGTTTAAAGTGCATAAATTAGAGAATTTAAAGGTTATATGCCTTCTAGAATCTTGAATAATACATGACATCTTAGAAAAATCAACCTTCAACTAATACTACCCTCTCAATTTTTGGAGGTCTTCTACTAGAGTAGGCCCCGGTGCGAAGCACCTATTGCACCTCCTAAAAGACGGCTTTGGCAGCGAATATAGTACAGCCGGCTGTACGGTGCCAGTCGTACAGCCGGTGGCAAACTTGTAATTTTATTTGGTGAAAATC